CCAACAGGGAAACAGGTGTGAAACCTGCATTCAGGCAAAATGGGTATTTCCACTTGGTTCTCCTGGGGTCTTCTTTATATTCCTCATTTATATTCTGTTCATCAGAAGGTTTGGGTGGCATCCAATTGAGTCACTTTGCTGTCATAAAGTTTCTGCTGATAGGAGAAATCCCTTTCACCCAAGTGTCCCAACACAATACTTTGATTCCTCTTGCACAAGTCCTTTTGCAAACTTTTGTCCAACTCTTGATTAAATTAGATGGTGCTTGTGCAGCAGCCAGCAGAACACACAGCCACTAATGAAACTGCACTTCCAACACTTGTATTTCTGTTAGGGTTATGTTGGATACAACCTCTAGTAACTAGTAAGCTGTTTTCTTTTCCTTATTTCCATAAATATTTGTATGTATTTTCAGTAAACAATTTCCTGTTATTTATAAATATTAGCTCCTGTTTTGATAAAAGTTAAATATTGACAGACCGCATATAAGGATTTTGATGATAAAGGCATTTTAGAAAAATGAGTAAAATTGGCTTTTGAATAGATTCACACCAATAGAATGTATTGGTGAATCTCAAAAAATAAATTACAATTGTAAATTTTAAGAAAGCACACCTATAGGAAGAATGTATTTCCATGTTGAAGCAAGCAGAGAAATTGTTCTTTATTTCATTTCAAAGTATGTTCCTCTGTTTTTTAACAGCAACAACAAAAACTAATTCCCAAGAGTATTGATTAGATATAAACTGATTATGAAGCAGCTCTGGAATTGGTGGCCCAGTCATTTCTTGTACAATTAAATCCCTCCCTCTTCTTTATGGAAACTCAACTGTGGGCATTTTAGCATTAGTCTAAACAATGGTTTTGAATATGTTAAGCCCCTAACAATTAGAGAGAAGTTTGGGGCATTGAATAATGTGGAATGATGCAATTGAATCTGACAGCTTTAACAGTCAGCCTTCTCATGGGACCTCAAAGTTGTTCACACTTGGTTTCATCTCTCATCACATGCTGAGTATTAAAACCTTACTGGAAGGTGCCTTAAACAGAAATAGAGACTATATCAGAAAACATTTACTATCCTAAAAGTTGAGATGACTGAGAGTTTGTGCTGTTTTGTTTAAAGATTTTGTAATATTATTCAGTAATATATAGCATAGTAAGTTTTCTGTCAGTCCATGTATAGCTCAACAGAATTTTTTTTTCTGCCTTCAAGTCATTCTTGGCAAGGTTTTTTGGAAGTGGTTTGTCATTACCTTCTTCCTAGGGCTGAGAGAGAGGGATGGTCCTAAAGGCACCCAGCTGACTTGTGCCTTAGGAAGGTCTAGAAGTCACAGCCTCCCAGTTTCTAGCCTGGTTCCTTTAAATCACTACACTGAACTGGTTCTCAACTATAGAAATTACTGTTCATATAACAGTATGTGAATATCCTAGTCTGTTGTCCGTACAACACCTTCAAACAGAGGGTGTCCCTAAGTCATAATAGAGATCTACTCACTCCTTTCCCTCTGGTAGTATATATGAGTAAGGTGCAGTAACCAGAGGGGAGTTCAGAAGACCAGTTCAGACTTGCCATTTTCCAAAGGTCAGACATGCCAGTGCATACACAGACAGGTGAATTGTCTAGTGAACCTATGTAAATTCTTTTTGTGTGTTTTTTCATGCTGTGTAAGTCGTTTTTCAGTAACAGCAGATCAGGCGCATTACATATGCTGTAATGTATTTAGTAAATAACTCTACATATCTAACACTTTATCAAAAATATCAACAGTGATTTTCTACTTTATTTTTAACATGTACACAGTGAAGGGAAACTATCCAGTCTGTTCAGTATAAGTGTAATAGCTATATGCATTATATGATTTGGTACTGTGTTCCAGTATTGCGTTCCTATAATCAAAGGGACTTTGGGGATATGTAGATATACACAGAGACAGAGAAACAAACACACACGCACACATATACAAATATATCCATATGCATACACGCAACCTGTTTTTTTTATCTCAGTGTTACATTATCTTGATGGTATTGATTAAAGTGATCCAGATGAAATAAGATCATACTTCTTAAAAGTGTTGTCAAGCTTTCCTTTGCTTTGATCTTAATCATACTACCCAAATTATTCCACATTTTTAATAAATGCTTTTTAATGAAATTGAAATACATTGTAAAATGGTTCTTTTTTTACTTTTAAATAATACAAAAATTGAATGCCTCAATATATGAGGTTGTCATGTGTGTGTGTGTGTGTGAGAGAGAGAGAGCTAAATCCCTTTTTATCTCCAGTTCAGCTATTTTTTAAAAAAATAAAAATATTTTTGTTTATGGCACTATTCATAGCCATTTTATACTTTATCCTAGTATAAAAATCACATTATAGATATAATGTATAGCTGAAGAGAGAAGAGACCAATGATACTCCATCTTGACCAGGGAATGCTACTGTCTCAGTATCAGGTTTAACGTTTTTCTTATGTTTGGGAGAACACTTAGATATGAAAGTTGGCATTTTCCACTACTTTTATTGAAATAGCACAGTGATTCTGTTAAAATGCCAATGTTCTATCTACCTTTTAATCTTACTTTAATCTTTTATCTGCTAGAGTAATCAAAGGACAGTAAGTAAATTAATAATTCTATAAAACCCTTTCATGTCTTGAACTTTCAACTGAAAAGTGATTGGTTTACATGAATGAATGTACAAATGAATTCAGGATTGTTCATAATGTCTAGTAACTTAAAAACAACTCTGCTGATTTGTTCGTGCACATGCTTGTTCACTGTTTGATAGCTATAGTGTAAAGCAGATAACTATAGTATTCAGCATATTTATGTGAATAAGCCATTACAGAAGATGTGATGAGAAGAAGTTTTTGTTCAGAACAGCCATTTGCTATATTCAGAGTTATAGAAAATTTCATTGGACATTTGCATTTTTCAAGTGCTCAAATTCCCACTATTCCTGTTGAAAGCACATGTTTGTAAGGCTGCTTCAGATTTTTTAAAGTTGGGACTCAGGGTGTTCTATGCAGATACTAGAAGTGGGTCTAATGTACATGACCTCACTTCTCCTTCAGATGTTAATGTTGTACCCTGTTGCTGTGTATCTTACTTCTGAGTAACTGTTAGAATTGAATGGTAAACATCACATGATGTGGGTTTATGTATGAATAGATGCTAAGTGTATCCAGTGGAAATAATTATTGTCTTATGGAGAGCCTTATTCTATGGATCTGGCTATTGGTCTGCCTCAAAGCAGTAATGAAAATATCAGTCTTTTTAAATGAAGTTTCTTGAACCCCCTTTTGATTCTTAGCTGCTAGATATTATGTTTGCCTTGTTTTGGGAGGGGGGAGCTAGAAGGAGAAAAGGGGCTGACTTTTCTTCTGTATTATCCTTGTAAAAATTATTCTTGGCATGACCGTTAAAAAAAATTGGCTTGGTTGAGGGTATTTTTTCCTGTCAGTTCTTTATTCTCACTTCCTAATAGGAAAAATGTTTAAGAAATGGCTATTGGATATAGTTCCTAGTGATTTATAAGCAAGAGTTATCCACTATCACTTAAAATAGTTGGTAAGCATGGAGGTTCAGCATTGGCTGAAGGACGGAGCCTAGTGGCAGGGCGCAGTGCTTCTAAAAGTACAGGTTATACTTTGTAATATTTTATTTGCAGTAATATATTTCTGTTGGTTATGGCTGTGCAACTTTGAAGAATTACTCTAAAGCAGTTAAAAATTCTGTTGATCCCAAAGGTAGAATTGTGATTACCTTTTCTTTTTCTGAATCCAGTAGCATATAAAGTGCAGTCCTTAGCATATTACTTAAATATTGCCTCCTTTGTTTAATGGGGCTTACTTCATAGTAAGTATGCTTACCTCCTTTAATTGGATTGCACTTGGTGTAGTAGCTTATTTTTAAAGAAAATGTATGTTCTTTTAAAATTTCAAATTGAAAAGTGTTTATAATTTCATTGATTTTTAATGGTTTGTGTATCAAAGCTATAAGGTCATATATTCTTAGAAGTTTTATTCTGAAAAATAAAAGGATTATGTCTGTGTCATTACACTTCTAAATTAAGTTTTCAAATGCGATAACCTAGTTGAAGTTAATGTAGTCAAGTGGAGAAGATGTTTTTATTACACTGGATTAGGCAAAGATTCTGCCACCAACTCAGTTTTATCTCTTTGAGGGTCCATCTTCACTTCCTTGGCTGAAGTCCCAGCAGAAAAATTGAGAATTGTGGCTAGCAGAGTGAGTGAGTGAGTGAGTGAAAGAAAGGTGGGTTTTTCAGTAAGTCAAGCTGGCTAACTGCTAAAAATCCATTCCTTATTATGAGGTTCAGGACAGAGCTGTGATTTTGATCAGATCTTTATTATATAGAAAATGTACTTGGAAGCAGAGCTGCTTTTCTTTTTATGGGGAAAAAAAACTTGGCTTCCTTGTGCATAAAAATAGGAAGCTACCAAATAGTCAGCAGGTTCCACTAATGACAGAGTGCACCCAAGGAAATATGACTCTATGGTAAAACTGGAAATGGGACCTTTTGACCCCTGTTGCCTTTTTGTGATGTAAGGAACACGAGCATTTGTGAGACATCTGTTGTCTACCTGCCCTTATTTTGTAAATGGTTTTAAAAGATTAAACAATTACTATAAGCATATGGCCATCAAGAAGCAAGATCCTGATATTCCCAGTGTGATTTAGGAATGTAGGCAATTCCTTGTGACACCAGTTATTTTGAAAATGTAATTCATGGTTTGTCTTAGTTGAGTACTGAAGTGCTTAAAATAACAATTTCCCTAATGACACTGTAAAGAAAATCCTGCAAATGTATTATTTACTGTACTTTTAAACTTGTTTGAAAAGTATACTTGATAACTTTATTGGATTGACTAGATCAGGTATTTAATTTAATATATTTTGAAGCTTTAAGATATCTTTTTAAGATTTTCCCTTGCAGATTTCAAATTTCAATAATTAATTCTGTGTTTTGGCAGGCACTACCTGGATCTTCCCTTGGCCTTCCTCCATCTCATGTCTATGGCAATAGGTTAAATTCTAACACAACAATGGCATCACATACACCACAAGCTGAAAACATTCAGTTAGGCAAGTTAAAATTTTCAGTGGTATATGTATTTCTAAGTTTAAAACATGTTTCTTTTAATTTATTTGCATGCTCAACTGCTAGCTGCATTTTACACATGAATAATGTTTTACACAGCAGTGACTTCTGCATTATCTACTATCTGAAATGTAAATGTTTAAGCAGAGCAATGAGCAGGCAGGAATGCAACAATGTCTCCTGTGACTTTTGTGATTGATGTGTTCAGTTCCCTTAGTTCTCTGCAATGAGAGTAGCATAGCATTGGGTTTTGTTGTGAATCGTTTAAATCTTTATTTGCATAATTCATGGAATTGCATGATCTACAAGTTTGTATAGCTGAGATCCCGTTACATAAATTCACCAATAACTTGGTGAATACCAGTTGGTCTTTTTTATAGTATTAGCTCTTAAAAAAAATAATGAGCTCCTGGATTTGCTTTGTTTCATTCTATCTTTAAGGATTTGTTGACATGTCCTAATAGTCATGCCTGTCTGGGGGAAGGGAATGAGTTTAGCAGTTTACCAAGAATGGATCAGTCATGTCTTGCCCTCTAAAAGGCCAAGGGTCATTTGCTGCAGAATAGGGGGAGGGCAGCCTTGAAGGGGGCAGATAGGGTTATTTTATTGAGAGGCCATAGGGAAAAATAACCCTTTTGAGTCATGCCAAGCAAGTCATTTCAGTATATTTGTGTTGTTGTTTTTTCTTCTTACACAAAATTGGAAATTATCAAATACATTTCCTAGCTTCAATAGAAGAGAAACATATCCTAGCATTTGTTGCTAAAATTTTGAGAGAAAAAAAGTTATTGGTAGAAGTGAATATGGAGTACGTACGGTTTGTGAATTTTCCTGGGATGCAAAGTGTTAAAAAATACAAAGCCTGCGGATTTGCTGTGATAAGCATACAGATTAGCTGTCCGCAGCTGTGATTCATTACTTTCGCTGCAGAAATTAAAAGTGGCTGAGGGGAGGGCACTGGAAATACAAACCATGCTTCTGTGCTGTAAAACTGAAAGCAATGAAAAGACTAAGGTTAATCCATGGCCTGCTTCACCCACAGAAATTTGTACAGAGAATACCTTATCCATTGCAGTTAGCAGCTTTAAACTAATAGCCCGCTGTGGTATTACTAGTAACTGCTAGATAGTAAAGTACATCTTGAGATGAACTCAGTCTGCAACATTTTAAAATCTTAGTTCAGGAAGAGTCACTTTTGGCTGTGAAATATTTGCTGTGCAGATCAAGATCTTGGAGACAATAGCCGGAGTCTGGTTGGAAGGGGAGGCTCACCCAGAGGAAGTATTTCGCCACGGTAAGCAAAATTTACAATCGGTTAAAGCAAAAGAAATATTTTTAAGATACTTTTATTAGGCATCCTATTTAAGTTGAGTAAAATTATGCAGCTATGTTCAGTTGGGGCAAGAAAATATTTCAGACTAATTTGAATTAACAGGATTACATAATAAAATTATGTCTTTATCTCATGCATAGAAATTACTTAAGTATTAGGTACATTTTTTACATTATCTTGTCTTACCTGTATGGTTGATTTTACAGAAAACCACATGCACCAGCAGTTATCAGATGGATACTGTCGTATTATAAGAATGTTGAATGCAAATATTTTTATCTGTTTGGTGTGTAACCACATAGAAAAAGGGAAGGATCTTGTACAGTCAGTGACATTGATATTTTAAAAAATCTAAAATGACCAGAATTGAATCACTAGTTGGTAGGTCTTTGTTAAAGAAGTATTTGTTAATCACTTGCATAAAAAGACTTGAGTACTGCTTGAGTATTGAAAGTTTCCTTATAATTATTGGATAGCATTTTAAAAGTGTTTCATTTTAATGCTACAATTGGTAATACTTACCACTACTGTAGTCTGCACATTTAGTTAATACATGAGTAATAAACTTAAAAAGTAGAAGAATGTCAGTATGCCACTTATGATTATGAACTGCTGTGTCATGGATAAAGTGCGTGTTAATGATCTGTGGCCAGATTTTCAAGAACCTGCAGATCTCAAAGACTGACTGAAAAATATATCCAACCTGCAAATTAGGCCAGTGGTTGTCTTAGGAATAAATCCTTTAAAATCTTTTGAAGCAGAGTGTGATTGACTTCTAATTAAATGTTATAGAAATATACCTCTATTTACTGAAATATAAAGTTGTATAAGAAATAGATCTCTGTATTAATACAGTTTAGTTTGAATGGCATTTACAGGTATTTGTTTATAAGGTTCCAGTCCATAGTAACTCATTTAAAATTAAATAAAATTGAGGGTGTAATATTTCTTTGTTCTTTATGTTCATTCTCAATTTTGTTAAATCTAAGACTTTGTTAAAATCTCAATTTAAGATTTTAAATTTAAGATCTTAATTTAATTTTGTTAAGATCTTAATTTTAATCTAAGCTCTGTGAACAATGTTTAAGTCAGTTAACTTTTTATTTTAGCTTTTTTAGAAGGATTTTGCCCACTGTTTTAGGGCTTTTGAATAGATAGAATTAAGGAATTAGAATCAGGACACAATACCGAGGAAAATTATTTTTTGAGTCCTTCGGATTTTATCAAATTTAATCAAATATATGTGGATTAGCATAGCATAGAATTGCTATATTTATGTACAATGCTCGCATTATTAATGTAATGTAATAAAGATGTATAGATATACAGATGGAAACAAGTCAAAAGATACAGAGTACTACAGAATTCATGTAAAGGTTTTTATCCCCAAAATCAGACAAAAATAATGTAAGATAGAAATGCATCTGTCTGGAAGGTATATATTAAATGAAGCAAAGAGTCCTTTTTATTTAAATCACATTCACCTATTTTTAATATAAAAGCTGTCAGAATTATATCTAGCCAGTGACCTTTGGTGAACCTAGCACCAAGTCTCCAGCAAAGGCTAAGACTGCGCATCAGAGGAATTATTCAAGAAATAAGCAGGTACGGGTGATTTGTTCTCTGTGACCCCTACCTTATACATACACATAGCCTGGTATTCAAGGACTTCAGTTTTAGTGCACTCTCTTAAGCTCACTCAAGTATTTCCATAAAGTTTATACCTATGGTCCAACAATGCATTTAGGATAACGAATGATGTTGTACAGCAGTAGTGCTTGAAGGAATCAGCACCATTTGAGAATATGTCAATAATTTGCTAGTCATTGGCTCGTAAAATCCATTAATAATTTTTATTTTAATTTAATAGTTGTATATATAATTCAGTACAGTATATTATCTCATCCCTGATATGGATGAGGCGGTTGATTAACCATATGAAAAAGCAATTTACTATTGGGTGAATTCTGACATTAAAGAGAAGAGTAATTGCTTAGCACTGTAATTTGAGTTCATGCCAAAAAACAAAAACAAAACCCACCAACTATAGAGGTATTATGAACTATTTGAAATTTTAATCCTAAGAACTAAGAAAATTTAGATCCAAAACTTGTTCTGATCAGTGGCAAAGTTGATCCTAGTACAAATACTGCAACATTAAATCAGGATTTAAATACATTTGTGTAATGTATGATTATTTATTTATGCATTATTTCATTTTTTCCCTGATTACTTGATATACCTTCTATTGTGAATAAGCTAGGGTGCTGGGGAGTAATTTCAAGTGTGTGTGTGTGTATTCCATGACAACTGGGAACATGGGAAAATATGTTATATGAAACAGGTGAACTATCAGAATTCACCAGCAGGAGAAAGTTGCTAAAATTCATTTAATTTCAAAATGCCTATGTACAAGTTCTGTGATTTAGTTCTGATACATTATGCTGCTGTAATGATATCTCTGAACACTTATGTATAAAATGCTTCACACTTGACATCTCAGTAAGGTCATCGTCTTCAAATAATGTATAATATTAGATTATGTGTGTTTTAGGATATAAAACTTTCCAAATTGTTAAAGCATTTGTCACATTAAGTGCTGATCAAGATTTCCTAAATTAGTGATACTGTCTACATACATCTTTAATACTTTCTTGCCCACCATTGTGATTGCTGTTGTACTCCAAAAGGCTTCTGTTGTTATTAATTGCTAAATTCAGTTATATAACGATCTTAAATGAAATCTTACTAAAAATATGTCTTTAAGTGAAGTTGTCTGGGGCGTGATTACTCTCTTTGGTTATACCTTGCACCAGATTCTGTGATACTTAATTGAATGGGACAATTTTCCTCTTTATTTGTGCAATAGTATACTAGTTTATCAATTTCTTATTTGGTCTGGTATTTTCTAGGTATGTTATAGTTAACTTATTTATATATGTGCATATTTTTCCATTACTTTTATATGTCATTAAAAACACCCGGTAAATTAGTACGCTTGCAGTTGTCTATGTAACATTAAATTAGTTTACCTGAATAATTGAACTTTTGATTTTAGTGCAAAAATCCTCCTAAAAGAATTGACATGCTGGAACTTCGTCCTTAAACTATTTGATGCTAAGAGGCAGCCCTATAGGCATCTTAAAGGAGTATTGGTTAGAAGAGTTAAGAGTAGCCAAGAAAATTGATGTGTGTATGTTGTGTATATCTTATCTCCCTTTGTTCTTTTAGTGTAATTCATAACCTTTCTACAGGTCTCCTGTAAGCAACTTACAGATTCGTTATGATCAGTCTGGAAATAGTAGTGTAGAACATTTGCCTCCGATACCATCTACTATAGAACAACTTCTGGAGAGGCAGTGGAGTGAGGGGCAACAGTTCTTGCTGGAACAAGGAACCCCTAGTGACAGTAAGGTTTTCATCCTGTCTTGATTCATTTTTTGATTGTGGTTTGTTGTTAACCGTATATATTGATGGCTTTATTATGTAATCTAATATCCATCGGAAAAGTATTTCTGATGTGTGTAAATTTTATATTTGAAAGATTATTATCATTCCTGGAGTATACCCATGTGTGGTTCTAATTATCTGCTTCTTTCCTGTTATGGAAAGACATGCCTGAAATGTTAGTCATTTACTTTAATTTTGCTCCAGAATTATTCTGGAGTGGGAGGATGGGTCATAAGAACGAATCTGAAACTTTGGTAATGAAAGATGAGATAATAAATTTATTTTGAAAAGATATAATTAAAGCTTATCTGAATCTTCAGTGAGTAGCTATATTCTGATTACATATGCATACGACTGCATTAAATATTTGAATTGTTTTAAAATTATTTTACCATTTAACAAAAAGTTCATGAGTGATCATGAGTGAAGTGCCATATAGAGGTATGTGTGTACGTCTCTCTCTCTCTCTCTCTCTCTCTCTCTCTCTCTCTCTCTCTCTGTGTGTGTGTG